GAGGTTCCATTGAGCGGTGGGCGGAGCTCACAGCCGGAAGTTCCTGCCGCCCGTCAGGGGCGGGGCCGGAGGGCGGGGCGCGGGGCAGGGCCAAAGTTCCGGAGACTCAGGCGGTTTTGGGGGCATCCTGTTCATCGAGGAGCCGATCCTGTGCGGCGAGCCGCGCAGAAGAGCTGTAGGGCTTGTTTTGCAGCTGAATTTACTCAGAGGTTTACATGAGATAGAGAAAACCGAATTGCTCTCAGAGACCTGGAGAGGGAAGGGAGCTGGAGGCGCCCCGACCCAGCCACCGTCTTGGAACCGATATCTGCTCATCCTCGAAGCGCCAATCTGCGACCTCTTTCCTTCTTGTCCTGCCACTGAAATGTCACCGTTATTGCCCAGCCACCCTCCCAGAATCACCCCCAATGGCGTGGAGGGCACGCGGCTTGCACTGCCCCAGTGCAACTCGTGCTCATGGCATGGTCCACTGAAGAGGGGAGACCTGCTTGACTCGCTTCCCTGTCACTCCTTATGTATATAACGCCTCTACCATCTGTTGACCACCTGCTCTGTACTGCATATGCGACATGCCCCACCTTTTTTTTCTGAGTTGGGGTCTCACCCTGCCACCCAACTGTAGTGTAGTGGCACGAACACGGCTGACCCTTCGGTCCCAGCCTCCGGAGTAGCTGGGACTACAGATGCACGCCACCACACCTGGCTAATTAAAACAAATTCTTTTGTAGAGACAAGGTCTTGTTAAGTTGTCCAGGAGTTTGACGCTGGTCAAGCAATCCTCCCATAGCGTTGAGACTACAGGTGTGAGCCACCACACCCCACTGCATGTCCCACTTTTAACCCTAGAAGCTTTCCCAACAGACCTCTCCAGCCAGTGCTCCTGTTTCTTCATTCCCACTCTTGCCAGTTGATCATTTTCCAATCAGTAATCTTTTTAAAACAAACCTGATGATGTCCAAGGCTTCCCATGACACACTGAGTTAAATCCAAATTCTTCCCATCTTCCTCTGCCCTCGTAACACTGCGTCATGCCAGTAGTGAACGGTCATGTTTGTTCCAGGCTCAGAGCCTATGTCAGAGAGCTCAGGAAGCCTCCAAGCAGTCACTAAACTGCAGCACCAGGCAGGTAGCAGGAAAAGATTTATGAAAACCAAGAAGGCAGGGTGTGGTGGATCACGCCTGTCATCCCAACACTTCAGGAGGCCGAGGTGAGAGGATTGCCTGAGCCTACATGTTCAAGATCAGCCTGGGCAACTTGGTGAGACCTCATCTCTACAATAAATAAAAAAATTAGCTAGGTGTGATGGCGCACGCCTGTGGTTCCAGCTACTTGGAAGGCTGAGACAGAAGTCGAGGCTGTGGTGGCCATGAGCGTGCCACTGCACTCCAGCCTGGGTGACAGAGTGAGACTCCAACTCAAAAAAAAAACAAGCAGCAGCAGAAAGGCCAGGGTAACATCTATGACTACTGGTTCAAGAGAATGAAAGATTTCGGTTAGAATTGGAAGAATGAGAGAACACAATGGACCTAGTTACCAATTTCAGACTGAAGCTGTGTTCAGTTTGTGTTGGCAATGGCAAGAATGAATCGATCAGGCCTTAAGTGAGTCTCTCCAAGACCTAGCAGTTACACTTTAGGGATATTCTTCCTAAGAAAAATTCCCCAAATACAGAAAAAGGTGGGTGCAGTGGCTCATGCATGTAATCCCAGCACTTTGAGAGACCAAGACAGAAGGATCACCTTAGCCCAGGAGGTCAAGACCACAGTGAGATGTGATCATGCCACTGCACTGCAGCCTGGGTGACAGAGTAAGACCTTTTCTCAAAAAAAAAGGGGATATGCACTAAAGTGGCAGATTTATTACAAGTATGTTCATAAACAAGCCAACCTGTTTGGAGAAAACAAAATGAAAATATCTGTTGAATGTTGACAGTGGTTACAATTTGGGATTCTCATATTTACTCCCAATATACCAGGTGCTGCTAAGTGCTTTATAAGCTCTAAGTCCTTTGATCAGATGAGGCAGATACTGTTATCCTCATTCTGAGGGGACTGAGGCCTTAGGTATGCTGCCCCTTCCAATGCAAGCCTCTCCATTATGCCTTCAGTTCTACCCATGCACTTGCTCCAGTCCTTGAAGCTCACAAAGCACTCACTTTGCCTCATCAAACACCAGTTACAGACACTTAGAGGACACATCTCCCCTAACAAACCGAACTGCAAAGTCCTCAAGCGCTGGGTCCAAGTCAGATCTGCCCTTGTAACCTAGCAGACTCTTACCTGTGAGACACGATATTTAATAAACAAAGACCACACAGAAACTATTTCCAATGTAAATGAGAGATGCTGACTGCAGGCAGCAGTGGTGCTTCTCGCCCTTGTTGGCAGCAGCTCACTGCTGTCCTGAAGCCAATGCACTACTCAATTTGAGGCCACTTAACTTTTCTTGCCATTCCATCTTACCAGTCCTGCTACCCCTGACCTCCAAAGGCAGTCCGGCACTCCCACTAAAGGGGTTTCCCAGCAGGAACTCCCAGGACAGCAGGAGTGGACACAAGGAACCAGGGGCAGCGCAAAGTGGAGGTTCTCCCTCAAGGGACTACAGAGATCCAGCGAGGACTCCAGAGCATGTCAGGAAAGACAAGTGCAGAGCAGAACCTGGCATGCCACTTTTTGAACAATGAGAAGGGAATGAGATGCATATTCATATTTGCTTGCTTTGGCAGGAAACAACACTGGGAGGCTGAACAAGTAATCATTACAAAGGGTGGTTGGGGCACGGGAGCAGATTTAGTGCCTCTTGTATCCAGTTGTGACTTTGGAATCCTGTAAGTTACCTAAGAACACTTAACAAAGCAGTCCCTGAGCCACCCTGGGATGCCCCTCAGAGGCAAGTTTTCCACATAAGGGGAGGCAGAGGCTGCATCCTTCCCCTGCAGCTGATGGGACTGTGGAAAGCGCTATCTAGAGCCTGCTGGGACAAGGACCTGCAGGGCAAGGACCCTGTTTCCCCACCTCACCTGTGCCATCATGGCTGATCTGACCTGAGCCAACAATTCAGTCAACACTTGAGGGGCTTCAGTTACCCACCGCTGTTCCAAATGGTCCACTCATCTGTAGAACACAATCACGCCTCCCAAGGATCCTTGTGAGCATGGGGTGACATAACTGCCTTGAAAGCCACTATGTGCTGGCCTGAGGAGTGGGATCCTCTTCTTCCCAATGCCCTCTTCCCGCCAGCCTAGCTCTTCACTTGACACAAGAGGGACACCACACAGCTTTCCCAATGCCCAGGGCTCTATTCTACAACAGTTCGCTTATTATTTTTTAAGACAGAGTTTGGCTAGGTTGCCCAGGCTGGTCTCCAAATCCTGGGCTCAAGCAATCCTCCTGCCTCAGCCTCCTGAGTAGCTGGGGCTACAGCCTCAGAAACACCTCAATTATAATTGCAGCTGAAAGCTCCTGGGGCAGGGATGCCAGTTGTGACCCTGGCTGACAATCCTCTGGAATGCCCCACCCAACCGATAACCCAATGAGCACCTCCTCATCCTCTTCTGAGATGCTGGATCTGACTCCACAGGGTTGTCCCCGCTGTGGTTTCATAGCTGGCTTCAACTTCACAGCATCACAGATTTGCAACCTGTGTTGGGATTGTTGCTGCCCACCTCTCTCCCAAGGGTGTGGACTCTCCAGGGTGGACCTGGTGTGCTGGCTTATTTAACCCTTTTGTCATGGTCCTGAAAGACATACCACACAAGCTGAGGTGAATGTTCCGCCAGAGGAATGCTTTATTGACAAATTACTCATAAGGAGACGATACATAAGTAACCACCCTTGTACCCTGCCGCTCACATCCTGTGAACAGGTTTTAACCCTGGAAAGAGGGCCCCAAATGACGCTCTTCCCTCGCCAAGGAATGCTGTCAAGAGTGTCTGAGATGGCCAGGGACACTTGGCTATCAGAGGACACATCACGTTCTACCAAACAGAACACCTGAGCTGAGTGGCCCTTCCCCTCCAGGGAGTACAGATGAGCACACAGCAGGCAAGGTGCCCTGCAGACCACGCCTCCCAACATGCAGGCCCTGGTCGGGGAGGCTGCTGGGTCATGATGGTTTAAAAACAGAAAAGAGATCTTTGTAGCTCCTGAGAGAAGGTGACAGCAAAGTTCTAGCAGATCCCCATGCCCCACCCTCGACCTGGCCTGTGGGATCATTTCATCCTAAGTGCAGCAAACAGGCTGGCTGGAGTTACTAATTAGCGCCAGCCAGTCAGCCCAGGCCCATGCAAAGGTAGCACTGTGAAGGGGCATATCTCTTAAAGGGTGCTAAAGACAGGCTTTTCTTCTCTTGGCCCCTCCTAACCCAGAGGCCCAGGAACCCTTCTGGGCACAGAGGGGAGCCAGTAGGAGCTGCCAGTGGTTAAGAGGAGAAGCAAATTTTACACATTGGGATGGAGTGCATTAGTGAAATAAAACACCCGACTGGTACAGGCTGCCACACAGGCTATGTACAAGTCTACACAGTGCTCACAACCTGTTAAAGAACCCTCATTTTTATATATAAAAAAATTATAAACAAATCAAGCATAAGGCAATGTAAGGCTTGTATCTCAGCTTGAGGCCAAAGAAATCATGTTCACTAACCATGAGGCTAAAGCGGCTCTGCCTGATTTTAATTTTCAAAAGTCCACTGCATTTAAAAAATAATGACTTTGCTTTTGTTAAAGTTAGATTAGTGTAACAATTAGGCAGCTGCTGATAATCAGTTTCCTTTCTAGGGGTCTCAGAAAATGGACAGTTCTCTCATTCAGCATTTTGAGATTAAAAAATTGCAGATAGGGTTTTCTGGGTGACTGTATTTCTTCTGTGAGTTAGGGCAGGAAGGGGAGATGGTCAGAAGATGCCCCTTATCTTATACTTAGGACTCTTTTCAATTCTTTGACATTCTGATGAGCTGCCAAGATTCCCAATGGGAGTGTGGACTTTGGCTCAATACTCCTCTGGATTCTCTGCCCTGTCCATGTCCTGCACCCCAGGAAGGATGGCACAGTGATCTGTTTCATCTATGAACTTTAGTGTAAAACATCTGTGTACAAGAATGTGTTCTCTAATTCATGCGAACGCAGCAGCCACATCTACTTGGATGGGCGCAACTGTCCTCAACACTGACTGTGCACGCGCCCCGGCTGGTGGCTCCACCACGCAGGGCTGTGGTTTGATGATGAGGTGTGCTTGCGCGTGTTCTGTGGCTGGGCGAAGTGACTGCAGGCTTAGAAAGGTGCGTGATCCGACAGGGGTTTGTCGCCACTCCCCGTTGGGGAAGGGAGGTTGTCACTGCCATTCTCTCTGTCACCCACGACCTTAGACTATAGGAAGGAAAAGATCAAGAAAGAAAAACCTGAGACAGAGCACACAGTACAAGGTAGATCCTAGGCCCATGCTCAATTCCCTATGTGAGTTTATGAAACATGAGCACTGCTCAGCAACAAGAACAAATCACCCTGGAAGGTCTCCAGAGAGTTATGCAGGACGAATACAGCCAGCCCCCAAAGGCTCCATAGTATAGAGCTTCATGCATGTGAAATTATTGAAATGACAAAATTACAGAAATGGAGAGCACGCTACGAGTTGCCAGGGGTAGGGTGGGAGAAGGTGGGCAAGGGCTAAAGCAATCCTCCTTCCTCGGCCTCCCAAAGTGCTGGGATTACAGGTATGAGCCACCATGCCCAGCCAGGCTCTGTGTCCAGACTGCATCAATGTTAATGTCCCATTTTGAGACTGCATTACTGTTTTGTAAGATGTTAACACTGGAGAAAAGTGAGTAAAAGGTACGAAGGACCTCTCTGTATAACTTCCTACAACTGTATGTGAGTCTACAAGAACTAAATACCCAATAATAACCAGGCTGATGTAAGTGACAGGTCACACTTCATCCAGAGAACAGGACAGCTCAGACACAATTACCTTTATTGTCCCAACTCGGTCTTCAAATGACTTGAAGGTTGCAGAGTTCCTTTAAAGAAAAAGGAGACCTGTTGTAGTCAAGAGCAAGTAGTTGTGCGGCCCTCCTAAGTGTGAAGGGCCTCAAGGCTAGGGCCAGCCTCCCCCTGGAAAGATATCAAACAACGTCTCTAAGACCTGACTGCAAAAATGGGACATAGCCAGATCATTCCAGAAGTTCTGCAGGTTAGAGGTAAGGTCAGCCATGCTCACCAACCACAGGGACAGGCCCAGACATCTCATGAGAGACTGCAAAACCTTTGCCTGTGCAGTGGGTGGGAAGCCTGGCACAGCTCTGCTGCAACTTACAGGTATACCTGTAGCTCTCATACTGGGCTTATGAAAAGTCCCAGAGTTCTTCACACACATCTCTCAGAGAAGTCAAGTGAGAGAGAGAGAGAGCCAAGGACAGTTCTGGGACGGCAGAGCGACAGAGGCAGAGAAGGAAGGCCAGCCCTATGCCACCCAGTTCCTCTTACACATCCTGATACCCTTCCTGCTCCAAGGCCTCGAGAGGCTAGTACATCAACAGCACTCAACCACAGTCTCCAAAACAAGAACGGGACTCTCCTGAGAACCTCCCTAAGAACACCCCAAGATCTCTCTGCAAAATTGTGACAGCCAGGTCACTTAAGAGGCTCCGCCGGTCATCCTAACAGAGCAGGCACAGGAACAGACAGATCACAGCTCTGGGTGTTTTCATAAAGGCTAAGCCACCCAAAGCCTCCTGAGTGAGGTGCCAGGGCGCATGGGCAATCCTCTCTCCTGGCCTGACCCTGCGTACAGCCAGGACACGAAAGTTTCAGGATGGGGCCCAGTGGTCTGACACTGTGCACAGCCAGAATGTGGAAGGTTCAGGATGGGGCCAGTGGCCTGACCCTGCAGCCAGAATGTGAAAGGTTCGGGATGGGGCCCAGCAGCCTAACCCTGTGTGCAGCCAGAACGTGGAAGGTACAGGATGGAGCCCAGTGGATAGACTCTGTGTGCAGCCAGGACATGGAAGATTCGGTATGGGGCCCAGTGGACTGACACTACATGCAGTCAGGACATGGAAGGTTCAGGACTGAGTTCAGTTAGGGTCACCTCTGGAAGTCACAGGATAAGAGTTTCAAATTCTTGTCAGACTAGAAGGAATCTTTCCCCAAATCAGTCGATAGGTAGCTGCAAGGGGAGCAGGGTCTTTCTAGGCCTTCAGGAGCTGCCCCAACCCTCACCCAGAGACACCCTGGTTCTGGAGCACCAGAGAGCAGGTGTACATTACCTCATGGCCGGCATACTTATGGAGTGGCGAATGGAGTAGCTGCTGCTTGGAAGCATGGTAGGAGCAGAGAAGGAAGCAAGAGTTAACACTAAGGACCACTGGCAGGCACTCATCAGCTGTCAACACGCAACCTCAAGCCGGCAGGGACAGGCAGAGGTGAGATCCCCACTCCCAGCACAGCTGGAACTACCTGCCTGCTCCCTTCACACAACACCCCACAAGGAAAACTGGACACCAGACCCCTCCCTCCTAATCCCATGGGAGCATCCTGTGTTGCAGAGTGTGGCCCTGGGGAGAATAGTACCACAGCAGGACACCATCAGGAGGCGTTGGCCTAGGCTTCAGAAGAATACTTGGTATAAAGTATAGCCTTAAGGTGTCCCACTTGACTTCATGGCAAGTTAAACGACCTTTTGGCAAGGGAAACCACTAGGTCAAGTTAAATAAAAATATCTGAAATCACAGACTGTCCTAGCCTTAGCTTTAGACCTCCGAGTTCCAGTTAGAAGAGTATGTGACAGCAGTGCCCTGGGAAAAGGGACCTAGTAGGAGGAACGCCAAAAGACTTCTGGGTAATCAATGATACAAAACTTAACCAGAAGGAAAATGAGGAAACAGGACCAGCATTTGACAGGAAGACCAGTGAGGGGTTGGCACAGCCCTCCCATGTAAAGATGCTCCTTCTTGGGAATAAACTTGCTCACTGACCCAGTGGCAAGTGGCCTGTGTGCCCAGGTGTGAGTACTCAGAGGGGATGCAGACATGTTGGGAGGTTGGGGGATCTCCACTTCGATCCCACAGCTGCCTGAGCAGCAAGAGCAGTAGATCATCCCTGATATGCAGTAACTGCCTTGCTGGTGCTACACCTGGAGGTGACCCCCTCTCATCCATGCTCCACTGGCACAGCCTCCCACAGGCCCCACCAGAGGCCAGACTGCCCTGCTTTAGAGAAAAGCCTTCCACAGGCATGTCCAGGTCAGTCTTACCTAAAGGAGTGTGAGAATGGGTGAGCCCTGGAAGGCGGCAGTAGGAGAGAAGAAACACAGCATTAAGCAAGGAGGCAAATGCCCGCCTGCCCTCCAGCAGGAGACCCGCCCCAGGCCCTTAGCTCACATGTCAGAAGGCCCAGCAGAGGGCCATGTGAGGTAGGGATAGGACACTCCACAATGGCCCCTCCATCCTTTTGCCGTCAGGGAAAGAAGCCGTCACTACAAGGGGCCCCCATGAGCGTGTGACTGGCAACTACACAGCACCATGGCTCTGCCTACTGGGCACAGCCACAGGAACAGGAGGCTTCTATGTCCACAGTGTTTGGAGGCAGGAGAAGGGAAGCCCCAAAGAGGGCCACAGATGGCACCTAGGACACAACCAGCCCCTCTAGGCAGTGCCAAGGTGAGAAATGCACTGCAGCGAGTCAGCTGGGCTTGGCCAATGCGTCATGTCAACAGAGCGGCCTGTATTACCCAAAGCGCATCAGTTGAGCAGAGCACAAGCCCCATGAGCGAAGCCAGGAGGACTTTTGGGCTGCACATGTCTGTTCTCCATACATGACAGACGCCAACCTGGAAACTGTGTCCAAGGGCAGCTGCTGGCCACTTCTCCACTGTGCAGCCAAAACCACTGCACTGAAGAACCCATACATGTTCATCATGCACTTGAGGTCCAGACAGGGCACAGAGCCAGACAGTGACCCAACCCTGTTGTAAACCACTCCCTGACCTGAATCCTGTTCCCTCCCACTACTTTGCCATTTTATGCCCTAGGTCCTGACACCAAAGGCTTCATGGTCCAGGGATACCCGGGGCAGGCCAATTGCAGACACAGGCATTGGGCAGTTGTTCTGAAGGCCCTGGACCCAAGGGTTAGGAGGGGTCCACTAGGGACCATCCAACCCTAAGGTCATGACATAGACGTTCCTGAACCCAACTTTTCTTTTCAAGAAGCAGTGAATTCTCAACCTCAGTCTCTAAGCCTCAGAAATCACGTGTGACCCCTTGGTGAGATGATGTCACTACACTAAGGGCAGAGACACTCAAATTCGCACAACCTCCAGCCCAAACAGAAAAGCCCGAGGGTAAGACACACGATAGCCAAGACATCTCTGTGGGCACCTTCAACATGACCAGCCAACTGCAGAACTGGTTCTTCTGGCACTGCCCTGCTGGGATCCACAGTCTGGAGCACATGTGTAAGTCACACATGGCACAAGGAGGCCAGGCATGCATACAGCTGTCCTAGCAATGCTGTGACAGGAACTCTGCTCACTGTCAGCCACACCCTGGGGTCATCTACAAGTCCCAGGTCTCTGAAGAGAGAGTGGGAGCCTTGCTCCTTGTCAGAGAAGGAGCAGAGAGAATGAATGAGACCCTGTCCCAGGGCTTCCAGAGAAAAACAGGCCCCACAAAGAGCTCCCCAGGTCAAAACAGCTGGGACAAGCTCGTGCACAGTCACTCCTGGTGCCAGTCTCAGCCTACCCTTTGGGTTTTCACAGGATGCTCTGAACAAATTTGAAAGGTAGCGAGCAACTCCAAAATGGAGAGGGAACTCCAAGGGAGGGCACAACTGGGGCACCACAGACACCTTTGCTTCCTTCAAATGCTCTGTGGGGAGACTGACATTTCCAGGAAGAAACAGGCAGCCCTCATGCAGCACTCTCTCCGCAGTGATGGGCAGCCTGCCTCACCTCCATGGCAGTCCCTGACCCCGAGTTGCTGCCTCTCAATGGAGCTTCAGGGAGCAGACTCCTCCCTCACCCATCCTGACACCACAGGCCACCCAATGGCACTGGCAACCACCCCCAATGAAGAACATGGAAATGGCAGAAAGGCAGCCACCAGGGAGGATGACCCTCAAGCAGGGGTCTGTGTATAGACCTTGTGCATCTAAGCCCAGGCTCTGGGCAGGCATTCCCCAGAGACTCCAGCTCCTCAGTCCTCCCCAGCCCTGACCAGGTCTCAGGGCAATGGGGTCAGGCAGGGTCTCACCTCATGTCTCCGAGCTTCCTGCTGATGGCAGAGCCCATAGTGGACAGAGCAGCTGAGGTCCTCTGTCCTGCCTGTGAGAGAGTTTCCTGAGTCTTCTTGTAGCTAGGAAGAAGACACAGCAGTTATACCAACCAAACAGCCAGGGCAGGCCACAATCCACAGTCAAGGAGACAGAGTGCGGAAAGCTCCCGAGGGGAAGGAGGGAGGAGTTGGAGTAAGGGCAAGCACTGGCTGTGCAGCTATGGAGGGGACCTGGGCCGGGCTCCTGAGCCCCTGGGGCAGCCTCAGTGGCAGAGGAACAGCCTGCATGCCCACATGCCTGCTGAGCTCTCTGCATCACCGCCGAGTCATGGTCTTCCAACTCGCGTGATGCTGTCTTCTCTCACAATTCAGTTTTGCCTCCCTCACCCAACACTGTCCAAGCCCACTTTCCTGTCTTCTCATGGCATGTCTGACTACCTGGAGAATGCCACAGCTGCCTGCAATAGAGGGAACAGCCCCAAAGTCTTGGACTTGGGGTGCAGGCCAGGTGGGCAGCTGAAGCAGAAAGGCCTCAGTTCCCCACCGGCAACACACACTGGGGGCTCCTTGTTCAACACAAGCCCCAAAATGTCCATGGGGGCGAGCTCCACCATGCGGCCATGCAGCCTGCAAGGGTGGTGGCCCTCTTGACCAGAGATGTCCATGCTTTCAGAAGACAGAACAGCTCCGTCCTCATGCCACCTTCACAGTGCACATTACAGTTTGCCACCTTGTCCCCTCCTGTCCTTCCAACGTTCACCCACATGTAGGCACATCACACTGAGACCAGCTTCAGGACCTCGGCGTCAGCAGGCTGGACAAGGGCAGCAGGCAGGAACTGCGCCCACAGAGATGCTCTTGGGCCTACCTGAGAGTCAATTCCTGGAGCTGCTGGCCCTTGTCCAGCTGCCACCACAAACAAAAGACCACAACCAAAGCCTAGGCCCCAGCTGCAGCACCAACCTGAACAAAGCCAGGGAACTCAAGGAGGAGTGAAGACGGGGCTCCCAAGGCCATCTCAGTGTGCCCAGGGAGGGCAAACCTAGCTGAGTCCCAAGTGAGTTAGTTTGAGATGACTGGCCTCCAGAAACAGTGCAGGTTCCTCTCATCGCCATCGGTGCCACCAGGCAGAGCAGGCACCTGCGATGAGCCCTTCCCACTGAGCCTGCGGGAGGTCCCGTGAGCTGAGCTGCTCTCTAGTCCCTCCAAAGATGAACAAAAGTATGTGATGCGGGTAGAGGAGGTCTGGTAGCACTTCCCCACAGCCCTCCCTGGCAGTGCCTGCGTAAACTCCCAGCCCATGGCCCAGCCAGATGACAGCTTTAACTATCAATTGAGATGAGGACAATGATGTGGAACCCGGAACCATGGCTGTTTTTAAAAACAAAACACTGGGTACAAGGTAACTAATGACCTGTAACATTTAGTTTCAAGAATACAAATTCTGAACACACCTTTAACCTCAATCTTTCCTGAGATAAAAAACACAAAAAATCTGCTGGGCTCGGTGGTTCAGCCTGTAATCCCGTGCTTTGGGAGGCTGAGGTGAGTGGATTGCCTGAGTGCGCGGGTTTGAGACCCACCTGGGCAGCTTGGCAAGACCTCATCTCTACAATAAATAAATAAATAAATT